GAAGGAGAAGGAGAAGGAGAAGGAGAAGGAGAAGGAGAAGGAGAAGGAGAAGGAGAAGATCTCATTTCCAAAGCAGCCTTAACTATATATTCCTGAGCTGGCAACCTATTGCTCCAGACTAACAAGAATCACCCCAAACTGTCTTGATCCAGAAACCGAAGTGCTGAATCGGTTGAAACTCAACCAAGGAGCTTAAGTAACGATAACCAGAAACCGAATTCAGATGCCTTTCAAGGCCGATCCAAAATCCCGCCCTTGCAGCACCCCGAGTTCCTCAAATAGGGGCCCGTGGCTGAAAAGGCCCCACCCTGTCTGTCTGAGCAATTCAGCGGGCTGTCCTAACGCCTCTTTCCATGATTTCCACGGACCGCAACAACAAAGGTTTGATTTTGATAGACAGGCAAAATCTTTGCCGGGCTGAATCACTTCAGACCCAACGACTGGATGTTCATCTAATCAATTTCTTCTTCCTTCAACGGCATCGATGCCTTCTTCCCCCTTTCTTCCTTTTTCAAAAAGACTTAATCAAATAGGAAACCATCTCACAAACAGAAAACAACCAAGGTGCCCTCAGACTCCCGGTGAGTAGCAACCCACTTTGAGTATGACTGTACCACTCCCCACGCACCGACCTGCAACCGGTTTTAAAACCTACACCACATCCCGTGTACGGAGCGAACTCCAATACACCCATGCCCAGCAGCTGCACAGAAAGCATAACTACACAGGAGGCCGCAGCCGAGTCTGGGTATGACTGTACCACACCTCCAAAGACCCACCCATTTTAATCCCCACACGCATCTCCTGTATGCAGATCCATCTCAGATAGGCACCTCCCTCCCCAGCTCAACAGAAAGCATAACTGGACAGGAGTCAGCACCCCAGTCTGGGTATGACTGTACCACACCTCCAAGAACCAACCAGTTTTAATACCCACACCCATGTCCTATATACAGGCCAATCTCAAATATGCATGTTCCCCCCTCCCCCCCACCTTAATCAAAGCTCTTATTTATTTATTTATTTATTTCAATTTATATTTCAAATGTAGACACCGCCCAAAGCTCTTCCTAGACAGGACCAGAATTGGAATCAGTGACCGCGACATCAGCCAAGAAGGGACGGGGAAGGACTAATTTTGCAGAAGACACTGAAAAATGGTCTTCATCAACAGCTGGCAGAGGAAGGGGGTGAAGAAACCCACTGCCCATCTTTCACCTGTGCAGAGGTGGCACGGAGAACCTTGGGGGCTGTTTCGGAGCTCTGCCACCCTGTCTCCTCCATGCCTATGCGTACTGGCTAACCCACCCCGACGTTTTGCCAGTGAGCAAACCCATCTCATCTTCAGCCCTGTGAAGGAACATCGAAGTTCATTCTCAAAAATCCAGCCAGGGAAGTAAACCAGGGCTTCACAAGACTCAAGATCGAGCCAACAGCCCATAGCGAGAGTTTAGAACAGGGTTCCCCAACCCCCGCGAACTTTTAATTGGGCGGGCATTAAACTCCAATGCGGTGGGGGGGGGTTTTGGGGATGGAAAACCACCCCACTACAGGTTTGGTGGTGT